TCTTGCCCAGGCTGAAGTGCAGTGGTGCAGTCTCAGCTCACTGCAGCCTCCACCTCCCAGATTCAAGTAATTCTGCTGGGACTATAGGCGCCTGCCACCATGCCCAGCTAATTTTTGTATTTTTAGTAGAGACAGGGTTTCACCGTGTTGGCCAGGCTGGTCTCAAACTCCTGACCTCAGGTGACCCGCCTGCCTCGGTGTCACAGAGTGCTGGGATTACAGGCGTGAGCCACTGCGTCTGGCCTTCTTTTTTCTTTTTTAATTTAAATGCATTATGATTTGTAGAGATGGGCTCTCACTATGTTGCCTGAACATAATGCTTGTCTCCTGCGCTCAAGCGATCCTCCTGCCTCAGCCTCCCAAAGTGTTGGCATTACAGGCATGAGCCACTGTGACTTGCCAAAACATTTACGTTTTGGAACATACCTGAAGGATATACTTTATGGAATGGAATTACTAGGTCCAGGGGTATAATCATTTAAAAATTAGATGCCGGTTGGCTGTGGTCGGTCATACCTATAATCCCAGTTCTTAGGGAGGGTGAGGCAGGAGGATTGCTTGAGTTCAGGAGCTCCCGATGAGCTGGGACAACATTGTGAGACCCTGTCTCTACAAAATAAAAAAAAGTTAGCCCAGGGTGGATGTGGTGGCATGTGCCTGTAATCTCAGCTACTCAGGAGACTGAGGTGGGAGGATTGCTTTCAGCCCAAGAGGTTGGAGGCTCCAGTGAGCCATGATTGCGCCACTGTACTCCAGTCTGGGTGACAGAGCCACACTCTGCCTCAAAAAAATGCAACTTAGATGCACGTTGCGAAATTGCCCTCTAGAAAGGTCACCCCAGTGTATCCTTTCATCAGTCATGCAGGAGCCTGTCTGCTTTCTTGTACTTTCACCAGCACTGGTGTCCTAGTCAAACTTTTGGGTTTGCAGATCTGATAAGTGAAAAATAGTATCTTCTGGTTTTACTGATTTGCATTTCTCTAATCTGGAATGACCTTGTGCATCTCTTCCTAAGTTTACTGGGGAGAATCCTTAAGATTTTGAGACGCATGCATAGATAGTCATGGGTGGGTGAGCATTCCAGAGGGAGGCACCTATACAATTGCAAAGGCAAAGCATGGGGGGAGTGTTTAGGAAAGATTTATTCAGCAAATACTTACTGTGCAGTTACAATATTTAAGTTACTGTGAAGCTGCAATGCCGTATAAGGAACCTTCTCTTCTAAGACACGTTTGTGTTCCTTATCAGGGTTGAAAATTCTAGGTGGCCCCAGGTGAGTTTTTAGAGAGCAGCCTCAGAAGTTGAGAATCTGGGTAGCTCCCTTTCTTGTTGGGAGTGTCATGGTTTCTTGGCAGGGCTTTGGAGGATAAGGAGGGTTTGGGAAGGGAGAGATAGGGATGAGGGATCAATAACACATTCTTGCACTGTCGCTCAGGCTGGATTGTAGTGGCGCAATCATAGTTCGCTGCAGCCTCAAGCTCCTGGGCTCAAGCAATCCTCCCACCTTAGCCTCCAGAGTGGCTAGAACTGCAGGTGCATACCACCACACCTGGCTACTTTATTTTTTATTTTTATTTTTTGAACTAGGATGTTGTTCTGTCACCCAGGCTGGAGTTCAGTGGTATGAGCATAACTCACTGCAGCTTGGAACTCCCGGGCTCGAGCAATCCTCCTGCCTCAGCCTCCTGAGTAGCTAGGACTACAGGAGCATGCCACCTTGTCTGGCTAATTTTTAAATTTTTTTGTGCAGACAGGTTCTCGCTATATTGCCCAAGCTGTTCTCAAACTCCTGGCCTCAAGTGATCCTCTCACCTTGGCCTCCCAGAGTGCTGGGATTGTGGGCATGAGCCACCACACCCAGTTTCATTTTCTTTTAAAATAGAATACATTTTCGAATAAAATAATGCAAAGCCCTGACAGATGTGTAGAGTTTAATGTGTCACAGCAGAAGGGATAGGTGCATTTAACATACTACACATACAACTTTGGGGGTTTTAAGCTGAAGTATCTGCCTGTAATCTTTTTCTTTTTTTATATATTGCTTCTAGAAGGTGGATCAAATGGTATAGTGACTCTAATTATGGCTCTAATTGTAGCTATCATTTGTTTAGCTTCCAGCCTGGCTCTGTGCTAGAGGCTCTGCATGTGTCACTCTTAGTATTGGAAGCTGTGTATTACTACCTTTGTTTTCCTCATGAGGACTGGGACACAGAGGCTAAATGACTTGACCAAATTCACAAGAGTAGTCAATGGAGAACACTGATTCAACTGGGTCTTTTAAACCCTGGCATCCAGGTTTTCCCCACTATGCCATACACACTGGGTTTGTTATTGTTGTTGTTTGAAACGGAGTCTCGCTCTGTCACCCAGGCTGGAGTGCAGTGGCACGATCTCAGCTCACTGCGGCCTACGCCTCCCAGGTTCAAGCAATTCTTCTGCCTCAGCCTCCCGAGTAGCTGGGATTACAGGTGCGCACTACCATGACTAGCTAATTTTTGTATTCTTAATAGAGACGGG